TCATGGAATTAATAATACATACAATTTACATTGATGTCCCCATCCCCACAAATAAAATAAGAGTACATTATATATATTGATTATATTACGTATTTTTCGAAAATTTGAAACTATGAAAATGGCTCTGGATACATAAAAAATGGCTCTGGATACATAAAAAATGGCTCTGGAGCTTCAAAAAATGGCTCTGTTAAATTTTTGACAAGTCAGAAAAATGGCTCTGGTGAAAAAAAAGTATTTTTTACCCTGGTATACGAGGAAACGATTTCGCACGATGCTAGGCAAATGTACTGTTTACGATTTGAGCTCAAGTTGGATGAGTTACGCGTAGTAAATCGTAGGTATTATAAGGCTAGTAAATGACGAATTTCCCTTGTTTATTGATGTCACACTCCTTCCCTATTATCTATTCCTGTGATATTAACTATTACTATGCAAGACACTATTAACTATTACTATGCAAAACATGAGTATTAACTATTACTATGAAAAACACGAGTATTAACTATTTTAAGTTCATAATGAATATATTTTCCCTTTTGTTCTAAGTTCCTGGTCTAAACGTATTAAATAAAAAATGTAACTTTCACTATCATCAGCATTTATAAGTAGCAGATATCAAACCAATTAGGTTTCAAATCCTATCACCCATCCTATCAACCATCCTATCCTATCAACCATCACTAAAATCAAGTACCGGCAACTTTCTAATGAATACTCTCCATTAGAACTTGGCAAGTAGCACAACTTAACCTTAATTTAACTGAAAATATTATTGAAAGGTGGATATTCATCTTATATGTGTTTTGTTGTATATATCAACACAGATCTACCTGACATCCAATGGTAAACTTATTAGAGATGACACACCTATCACATCAGGCAATGTCTTCGTCGTTTGGGCTCGTCTCCCTGGTGGAAAAGGTGGCTTTGGTTCCATGCTTCGGGCAATTGGTGCACAGATAGAGAAAACAACCAATCGCGAGGCTTGCAGGGATCTTAGTGGTCGTCGCTTGAGAGATATCAATCAGGAGAAGCGAATTAAGGTTTGTATTATCATTTGTGTCTGGTGGTTTAACTGTTTGGTTGTGACAAAAAATACAAATACTTACTCAGTGTATGGCGGATACTTGTCATATTGTGTTTACATGGATCACAGATATGACTTTACAGAATTTTACGTGACTCTTTTATTAACTGATAATAACCTGTGCTTTAATTTACGACCTACAGAATGACTGTAAGCAAGTCCAGTGTACAAGTAACAAAAGTGTTATGCACACATTACCACTCCACAGTCCCACTCCTACACCTGAAGTTTAATACGCCAACTTTCTAATTCCCTCATGCGCTTTCCTACCATCTTTTAAATTTTATATTTTTCTATACTTTAACTATATGGACTATAACTTTCCACGCATTTTCCACAATTTTCAGCCACTTTACCAAATTCTCTTACTTTTCTAGGCATTGAAATTTCTTTCACATATTCTTGAAATGCTAATAAATTCTAACGATTGATTGCTGTGCAAACTCTAAGCAATAATTAGGTGATTGAATTCCGCTACAGCAAAAATAACAAGTGCAGTGGCATCTCTTCCCATTTGCTGTAAACTGCTTGTCACTCCTGAAAACTGAACACATTAAATTCCACGCTATGTTTGAACTTCTGTTTTTTTCCATCAGGATTTCTTCTGAGGGAAAATTAGACAATGGCGGTAATGCCCCGTTTGGGGAAAAAACGCACATTGATGGATTCAAAGGCGTGCAGTAGGCTCGGATATGGATTCTGCAGGCAGACGCGGGGGGGGGGGAGAGGTAGAGGGGGTTCTGGGGGTCTCCCCCAGCAAAATTTAAAAAATGTGAATGTCTTACTCTTAGACTGTATTTGATGCACCCCGAAAATAAAATGTCACCTTTTAGTTTAAATCTTACTCTGTTAGCAGACCTACCAAGTCTCACGCTGCGCATTTCGCGGGAGACTCGCGCATCTCGACCCATTCTCCCGCGCTCCCGCATGCCCTACGCATTCTCACGCATTCACGCAAAATAAAAAAACTGAAAAAAAGTAGCCCGCGACACCCCTGTTACCCACGTCCGTGGCTGTGCACATCGTGGCTCGTGCTTGCTGGCTGGGGCGGCATTGATTGAAGTACGGGGGGGGGGGACGCGAATGCACTGATTGTTACAGTCGTGTGGGCGTGGTTATTGCTGTATATGTAGGGGTGGGCACCACGCTGGTATGAGGGAGTGACAGCAAAACTCCCGGAATCGAGGAAAAAGCTGTAATCTGGAATGACACAGGAGTGTGCCGGCACGCAAAAAGAAACATTGCTGTGAATTTCATGACGATTTTCCATGTATATAGTCAGAAGCACGTGGTGATCTATTTATTTTTGGATTGACACTATTTTGATAATGGCGGGTAAATTCAGGAACATTTTCACAACGGCGTTGTTAAATTTGACAACAGCAGTGCGCCGCAGTGCCTCTTATGTAGGAGAAACTCTGTCCACATAGAAAGTATTGACAAAACAATTGCTGCCACGATAACCCATCGATGCAGGAAATTTTTGCTTCAGTGCTCCTACAACTTGCTGTGCTGCCTTAAACTTTTTGGTTAGACCAGATAAAACACTTGCCTTGCCCTTAGAAATTGGGATTTGACTACAGCTGTTGATTGCAGGACTGGGTTGGCAAGCAGCATGAGCGAGATCGCGAGCAACAGGAGAGGAGGAAGCAACGACTGGAGCGACTGATGCAGCCGCCGAAACACAACTTCAGCGATCCCGACTACGAGAAGAACCGCAGCGCCATCTCTGGCGATGTCGACGAAGCCCTACAACAGGGCATGCAGAGCGCCTCGACCTCGGGAGGAGCCGGGGCGCACAAGCGAGGCGCGGAGGCCGTGCCGACGCAGAGAAAGAAGCCCAAAATGTGGCTCGGTGAAGACCTGGAGTTGGATAGCAGTGAGGAGGAGGAAGAAGCTGACGGGACGTCGCGTGACGGTCGGTCGCCCGAACGTGTCGGCGGTTGTGAGGATGGAAATGCAGGTGGCAGCACTCGCATGGAGGAGAGCGAGGGTCAGGAAAGCACAGACAGAGTCACTGCAGACTCTCATAGCAGTTGTTCTACCAGTGAGGTGGTGCTGTCAGCAGAGTCTGTACAGAAAGAGCTAGACTCGCAGGGTGACACCTCTACTTCAGAAGATATCAATGAAGAAAGTCGTTGTGGTAAGAGTATGTCTGTTCACACTGTCAGTTTTCCACGAATGGCTCCTTTTAAAAATCGTTAGAAACGTCAAACTAAATTTTGCTTTCACCTTTTCAAAGTACACACTAACGTTTAAAATATCGTACAAGGACGATTCCTATCACGTAGTTAGTAATATGCATTTTGCTCGTGACTGAATTGGTCTTGTTGACGCATTACTTCAGGCAAAGATGCGACGTTGGTGGAGGCGGAGAGTTCACAGGAAGCCCAACAGCAGGCGAGCAAACCGCCACACGTAGATGATGAGCAACCCACCTCACCCGAGACCGGTCTGCTCGCCGCGCTCTCTGCTGTTCCACCACGGCAGCAGACGCCCCCACGCTCTCCCGCTGGATTAGAATCGGAAGCAGGTCGCGATCCCGTAGACCTGGATTCGTATGACGAAGCGACACAGCTGGAGATGCTCGGTCTGGATGTTCTGAAGGAGGAGTTGATGTCGCGTGGGATGAAGTGTGGAGGCACGCTGCAGCAGCGCGCACAGCGCCTGTTTGCGGCGCGAGGGCTCAGCGATGATCAAATTGACCCCTCGATGCGGGCAAAGCCTTCTAAAGGGAAGAGGAACTGATGAAATAGAAGCTCTGTACGGCAAGGGTAAACGGATGATCGAGTAAAATGGTGGGAAGGAGAATTTAAGCGTAGAGCTGCTCCTTATGATAGAAGATGAAAACATGTAGGCTGAATTTACTTGAGAGGAAGAGGAACTGATCAAAGAGACAACTGATCTTTGTTTTACTCAATGTACTTGGTTTTACTATGGAGTGGTTTATAATAATTTCTTAAAACAGAAACTTGTACAGTTTAATCGAGTTATACTGGTTTTTGTCAACCTGTACAAACTTCCAGTTGGTATTTCACTTGGTGATATCTGTGGAGTTTGGTCTCAACCCTCACGCAGTATTCTGTCAGAAATTCTTGGTTATTGCCCAAAGACTACAATATTGCATTCATGTGTTTTAAAAGATTATATCATGAGCTAATAATACTAGTAACAGTATTATTAGCTCTTGATTAAATGCAAAGTCTTATAAATAACTTGTAGATAGTTTTCAATGCACTGCCTGTCGATACTATCATTTATCTTACAGTATATGCAGGTTAGGGCTTTTTATTTGTATCCTAGCATGCTGGGTATCATTTAATCTGTTCTAGACTTTCTTGAGGGAACACTTTGCTCATGCATGTATTTGTGTTTCGTATTTTAGGTTGAGATACTGAATGACGAATAGCTGAATAACAAATGTAATTCAGATTGTGGAATAAAATTGTTCATTGAAACCTGTATATCAGAGTAAGATTATATATCATGAAAATTACATAAAATGGAATTGCACCCTCGCTACTTCAATGTGGTGGTGCTGCTCTGTGAAAGGTTCCTTGCTATATCAATGAATAGGAATAGGGCACTGACACGTCGGCGACCTGTCGCCCAAAGGAAGTGACGTAGGGCCAACGTTACATCAGTGTGGTGGCACTGCTGTGTGGAAGGTTCATTGTTTTACTAATTAATAGACTAGGATAGGGCGCAGACACGTCGGCAACCTGTTGCCCAAAGGAAATGACGTAGGGCAGACATAAATGATTAAGCACTTAATGTGGAGTGTGACATGCTTACAGAAGGTGCACATCGAAAATCGCACCGTTGCTTCTTTAATGTGGTGGCACTGCTCTGCAGAAGGTCCCTTGCTATACCAATGTGCATGGATAGAGTGCGGACTCGTCAGCAACCTGTTGCCTAAAGGAAATGACGTAGGGCCGATGTTAACCATTTAAGCTGGGGTGTAACATGTCTACAGAAGGTGCGCATCAAGAATTGCAACCCCACTACTTCAATGTGGTGGCACTGCTCTGCAGAAGGTCCCTTGCAATATCAATGTACAACGATAGGGGGCGGACCTGTAGCCCAAAGGACATGACGTAGGGCCGACGTAAAGCATTTAATCTGGAGTGTGGCATGCCTACAGAAGGTGCCCGTCGAAAATTGTATTTGTGACAATTGTTTAGCAGTTGCAAATCTAGGAAGACAATACATAGAGTTTTATCACGACTAAAACACACCAGTTTTATCTCTGGCTGCGTGACAAAAACATCTTGTGAAAGCTGTATTGTCTGACAAAACCACCATTACATTAAATAGGTGGCCTAGCAGCGCAGCCTGTACTTCCTCTAGGGCTCTGATACATGTCATTGAGCTTCCCTTCCCTTTGCGTTTTGGCAGTGCATGGGGATTCCAAACGAGCAGCAGTGTACGGGGTGAGATAGGATATATATTACGGGAATCTGATTGGCAAGAAATTCTGTTCAGTAGTTTGCTTTATATATAGGCACGGATCTGCACATCCAAAAAGTGTACATGGATTAATTTCCCGCAATGATCGCTTATCTGCAAGTAAGGATATAGTGAATGAGGTAAGCTAAATCAAGTACGTGTTTTTATTTTTCTATTTTTAGCTCATCTGACATAGTCAGATGCAGCTTGTAGAATCTCATGATCGTCCGTCCGTGCGAGCGTCCGCCCGTCCGTCCGTCCATGCGTCAACAGTTGGGCACAAATCTAAACGGCTCGACGTACGGTCACGAATTCGGGACGGGGGGTATCCCGAAAATGAGTCTGGGATGTCGAAGCTGGGGGTCAAAGGTCAAAGTCAAGAGTGTAAAATAAGTAACATTCACCGTCCTAACTTAAGTTATAGGGAGGGCAATGCGGGAAATTGCGGCACAAATCAAACGCTCGACGAGGCTCGTATAGTGGTAGCATCATCGCGTAGAAAAGCGCATCACTGTCCGAAATTGGAGTCACAGGTCAAAGGTCAATGGCACAGGGCAGATTTTAGACATTTTTGATGACAAGGTCTACGGAGCGATGAAAAATTTTTGTATTCAGCGGTGACCTAGGCATTTCTTAAGCATTATGGAAAGAGGCCATGAAATCTACGTTTCTGCTGACATTGCGAAAGTAAGTGTCATATAACCTTTTCGGACCTCAAGAGGAGGGTTAAACCATTATTTGTTGACTGTCTGTGTTTAGAAAGAATTGGACTTGCCGCGTTTGCTTTTAGTTAGAATCTATACATCCACGGAATGGTATGAGGCTACAAGTTCACAGTGAAATTTCAAAATGCAAACATTTGGTTAAAGAAGTTTATGCTCCTTAAATCGTATAATTTCTATGTCATTCTGTACTGTCAGTATGTTAACATGAATAGTATGCCACTGCCAGTGGCTACTGCCAGAGTGGTTGGTGTACTGTGATTCTTGCCTGACGTTAATTGTTACAGGTGCAAGCCTCTCTTATGCAGCCTGTAGGCTTGCGTAGGTAATATGGATGAAGTGCTTACCTATTCTGTCTTGCAGATAGTTGTTGCCTTACATACGTATGATGCGGCACTTCACATCTTTAATCTGAAGACACTTAAAACGATACGCGCCATCTCGTGGCAACTTTCATAACGATCGCAACGAACATCTTGAAAGGTTCCTGATACCCATCCTGGCATTCCACTGTTTCGGCGTGTATGTGAAACATTTGGGACTAACAGTTTACTAGAATCCCACCACTCCACCACAGAGGCACCGCAGTAACGTTAGATGAGCGCTGCTCGCTCCGCGGCACTGTTTGTACACCACCACGACCAGGCCGATGCTAGGGGGAGGGCCAAAATTTTCACGACCTCAACTCGTGGTAATGATGAGCGACGGGCGCGCAGCTCTTGACCATGTCCACTCGTGTGGTAGAGGGGTCTGGAGACATCTTCACGACTAAGTGGACCAAAAAACCCACGAGGGTTATTTATGATTATTAGCTATAGCCCCCTTGCCCCTCCCCTCAACAGGCTACGGCCCTCGCAATGCACACACGCGCGCAACCGCACAGCACGCGCGCATCACACACTGGAGCACACACATGACACACCAACACACACACACACACGCACGCACGCACGCACGACGCACCCACGCACGGCACGCAACACGAATACACACACACACACAGCACCAGGGGTTAACCGTACGAGGAGTTCGGGGATTTGATCGCATAGCCATCACATCACTAGACGAGAGCACAGCCCACAGATAATTGACGCACACGCGCGCGATCGCGCACCACGAACAGCACACACACACACACCACACACACACACACACACACACACACACACACACACACACACACACACCACACACACACACACAACAAACAGCAAAACACAATACATACATTGTATACATTCAACATACATTACATACATCTAGCAGGGCGGCGCCAGGTATTTTCTCAGGGGGGGCGAAACAGCGGGCGTTTACAGAACACCGCGAAGGGTGAGTCTGGGCTCTCCCCAGGGAAATTTTTTGAAATAGACCCCCTCAGATGGCTTTCTGCGCGAGTAGGGTGTCCATACCCCCTGACCCCCCCCTGAATGCGCTCTGTGAAACTGTAGAATCTGAGACCACGGTGCGCTTGCACTTGAGGGTGGGGTCCATGGCGGTAGTATTAATCGATTCATGCAACGCTGCGTACGCAAAAAGAGTTTTCGTAAAATCTTGTTGTACGCAATCACGGCTTAGTTCGATCATCAAACACAGCTTATTATAGTTAAATTTCGTACGATTTCGGTACGCAAGCGAGGCCTTTAGGTGGATTCATCAAGCAAAAATTTTCGAAACCTTAGCGTAACTTTACACGAGCTGACGAGATGCCGTAACACCACTCGAAATTTTCGCAGTGTTTCTCAGCATACCGCAGCATGCATTTTAATTGAGAAAACATTTATAACAATTACTACTCAACTAAAAATAAACTAAATACATTACCATACTACACAGACAGGCGGCGCGCCTTGACGGTTTTTTTTCATAATACAAAATATTTTTGTACGCCACCAAACGCAACCCAAACTCAGACAATTTGTCGAATTTCTAGCCTATTCAAACCTATGGGTTGCGTGTGAGTGCGTGTGGGTTTGCGTGGGTTGCGTATGTGTTGCGTGTGAGGTCGAAACTGAACTTGATGATCCCCCAATATCTGCGATTCACCGCGTACGAGTTGCGTGCGAGTTGCGTGTGAGTGCGTTCAAACTTACCAAGTTGCGTTGCGAAACCTGCTGCTAGTGCGTGTAGAGTTGGCGTTTCAAAACTTACAAGTTGCGTTGGACCTGGCGTGCTAGTTGGCGTGCTAATTGCGAATATCGGTCACGTGGTAAAAACCTGTAATATAAAAAAACCTGTAATACCGTAGAAACTGCATGTCGGTAGTACTTTCGGTACCCGAGGCCAGGTGCCGCAAAGTGACTGCCAACTTCAGGCCAGGGTCCAGGGCAACTAGTACTTGGGTTTTGCTTGTGATGCGAGCGACCATACTCTCGCGTTAGAGTCATCTTTACAGTATCCGGGGGCATCCTCATAACATGTTCGGAATCTGCACCTTGGTCCTCGTTCCGACTCCACCAGAAGCTGGTCGTAGAGACCAAAGTCAAAGGCACCTGCTGAATTGATCGTCTAAACCCCCCACTGTATCGTGTTTGGGTGCTAACATGACCAGATAAACTGCATACCGATACAGCAAGAGGTAGCTCCATGTTGTCACCTCGAGGTCCACCAACAACTGACCACCGATCTAGAAAGCCAACTATTTATACCATTTCTCAACACGCACTGTATTACGCAACTAACACGAACTCACACGCAACTAATAGGTGGGCGGGATACCCTGGGAATACGCACAATAGGTTGGGGATACCTGGGAATACGCACAATAGGTTGGATACGCTGGATATATGCACACATAGGTTGGGGTACGCTTACACACCGCAACATGGATCGCAACAGGCACGCAAACACGATCGCAACATGATCGCAACACATTCGCAACATGTAACCTATCCAAAACCTGGGCCAGATATCCTCAATTTGGACGCTGCGATCACACCTGCGTTCATTTAACTTATGAGTTGCGTAACCTGTTAGCGATCGTGTTGCATCGTGTTCCGTGAACGTAGCTAACCTAGTTGCGTCCCTGTCTTGGTAAATTGATGCGCAGGCATTCCGCAAGAGAATACTTGAGACATGCAAAATTTCTAACTGTACTTGCGTGTGTCTGCAGTCACCTGCGTGCTGTTGCGTACGTTCAAACCTATAAAACCTATTAGTTGCGTGCGTGAGTTGCGTTCGCGAACTGTATGCACCACTATTTTTAGTTCGCAACCATACCGCAACTGGATGCTAGGTGTGACGGCACGTTTAGCCGTCTGTACGTGCACACGCGTGCTCACTTCGTACGATGCACACGCAGCGCACTTGTAACGTGCACACCAAGCACCACGTTAGTACGCACGCACGCACCCCGTCACGATACGCAAGCACGCACGTGTACGTGACACACGCAGCGACGTTACGCGTGCACAAGCCATACGCATCGCACGAGTGTACGTGCATCACGCAACGCACGCACGCGTACGTGTCGCTCTTTCATCGAGTGTTTAACACAATCGATACAACACAAAATGAGGACAAACTAATCACATCCCCCAGCACCTGTAGGACACTATGACAATATGGACATAACAAGAGAGGCATCAGTTTGGCCTATTGGTAGGGTCGCACAGTTGATTGGTTTAATGCTAGGCACGCCCCTCAACAGCCAGCAGGTACGTGCCCTAGGGATTACACCGGATTATCAACATTTGCGTACGATGTCTACGCTGCTTGATGACATCGCACGCCTCGAGCTTGCCTACGCACTTCGTAGAGAAACTCGTATACACAATACACTTTGCGCCAACGTGATGAATCCGGCCCAGTGCCCGCCTTAGTGCCCCTGGCGGTCCATGTGCAGAGCCCTGGCAGGGGCCGGGAAGTCTCAGATTAGCTATCAAAGCCTAAAAGTGCTGACAAAAAAATTGCACGGAACCAAGGAGCAACATATACCAAGAGATGAAACCCCGGGGAGACTCACCCACATTATGTATCCGGGTGGG